GGGGTCCCCACGGCTGGCCAGGGCACGCTATCCCCGAGGAGGGCTGTGCTCTCGTCCAGCCCAGTCTGCCCACCCCAGGCCCAGCCCCTGCCCTCCAGGTGGGGGTCGGGCTCTGGGAGGGCAGGAAGGAGGCCCTGATGAGCAAGGGCAGAGCCTGGAAGATGAGGAGCCGGGGTGCAAGAGCGGAACCCGGCCCCGGGAGCCGCGGAGGCTGTGCCGGGGGAGACCGCAAGCGGAGCCTCAGCCTCCCCCACCCACAGAGGACCCCACTCTGGCCACAGGGTCGGCAGTAGGGGCCCCCTCAGTGGCCTCACTCTTTAGACCTCATCCAGAGACCAGCTTTACTTGTGAGGCAGGGAGGCCATTTACGCAGCCGGAGCCGCCAGTCCTATCAATTCGGTGCTGAGAGTGGACGACCAGCCCTGCGGCATCTGGAGTTTAACCGCAGGACGTGCACCTTCTGGGGGGCCCTCGCCACTGCATGCGCCCCAGAGAGCCCGGGGTTGACCGATGCGGCCCTGGGCTCCCGACCACAGGAGCCCTGAAGGGTCTTAGACTAACACGCTTCATGAAGCGCAAGTCTCCGATAGCGTGGCTAGCTGAAGAGCGTTCCTCTCGTGCCGTGGGACCCCTGAACCCAGGAAGAAGGCAGAGGACGGACACCCCCAAATTTAGGAAGCAGACAGAGGGGCGCAGAGCACCAGTCGGCCCCCATGCAGACAGCCACCCACCTGTGGCCCCCAGAAGCCACGCAGCTCATGAGGCTGAGGCCTGGCCCGCCCAGGCCCCTCAGCTCCTTGCCCCTGCTGCTTCTCTCTGGGGCCACACGTGGCTCTGCTCTGCAGGATGGGCGGCCAGAGGACCCCCGGGCCCCAACTGAGGTGCGGGGAGGGGGCCTTCACACTGCCCCCTGGGATGGGCCTCAACACTTTCCTCCCTACTTCCCTGACCCTCACAAAGCCCATTACAGGGTCCATCTCCCAGCCCAGGGGCCCAGGCTCCACAAGAACATTTCCCAGTTTATTTACTTGCTGAATAGGTAACGTTTAAGATTTTAAAAAGAGAGGGGACTTGATGTGCATCCCAAAGAAGCCAGGGGCTACCTATGAATTTTCCATAAGCACCAGAAACTGGAAGCAACAATGTGTCCCTCATAGGAGGATGGATAAATAAGCCTTGGGGTATTCAAGCCGTGGAATACTATGCAGCAGTGAAAAAGAACAAGGGCTGCCTGCACGCCATAGATGGATCTCAGCATTTGATGATGAGTGAAGTGGCCTCACGGGGTTCCACGCAGGGGCCCCAGGACCAACTGGGCTGGACTGATGGGTCTCAGTATGTGACAATGAGTGAAGTGGCCTCACAGGGTTCCACGCAGGGGCCCCCAGGACCAGCTGTACTGGAGGATCCACTGGGCTGCTCACCTGAGAGGAGGCACTTTGTGGAACGCGGCTGTGGGGGCTTATTTTTTTAAGCAGAGAAGGGTTTACAGAGAAAAGATTTCATCTCGCTCTGTCTCCAGCCCAGTGAGCTCCCCTCTCACAGTCAGTGTCAACGCTGCCCTGGGAGCCGTTCCAGAAACATCCTGCACACGCACGTAAGAGCAGGTACGGCTCTGCCGGTGAAACAAACACCCCAGGTGACTGTGCGGACGGTCGAGCCTTAGATCCATCAGCCAAGATCCCGGTCCGGGACAGTGAGTTTCACACCTTTGGAGGGACAGCGAACAGAGGCCTGGGTGAGGGGGGTCCATCCTTGAGGGTGTCGACTAAGAAACTTCCATTATTCATGGATTTTCCAGGAAGCCTTGAAAGTCCCATTGTGGACCATCCGTGACAGGTTGTCTGCAGAAGCATCTCCCAGGACCCAGGGTGACTGGCGGGGTTGGGAGTGAGTTGAAGACACCAGTCTCTTGTTCAAAAGCTGGGAAAGGTGACCCTGGAGGACCCCCACCCAAGGCTGTTCCTGCTCTCCTGTGGCCTCCCTCCTACCGAGCAGAGACTCTCAGGACCCTGCGAAGAGATGCTAAAGCACTGTTCGGTAGCAAAACACACATAACATGAAATTTACCACGTTAACCATTTGTCAGCATCCAGTTCAGAGAGATTGAGAACATCTGCGTTGTTGTGCAACAGTCACCTCCGTCATCTCCAGAACTTTCTCATCTTCCCAAACTGAGACTCGGTCCCCATAGACACCAACTCCCCATCCCCCCCCCCACCCCGTCCCTGGCCCCCACCCCTTACTTCCTGTCTCCGTGACCCTGACGCCCCCGGGGACCTCACAGAAGTGGAGTCGCCCAGTGTCTGTCCTTCGGCGTCTGCTTATCCCACTGAGCATCACGTCCTCACTCCATCCGTGCTGTGGCAGCTGTCAGCGTTCCCTTCCGTGTTGAGGCTGAATCACAGCCCGTGTGTGGATGGAGCACACTGTGCTTACCCATCGCCCATCGACGGACACTCGGGTTGTTCCACTGTTCGGTTGCTGTGAGCGACGCTGCTCTGAACATGGGCGTAGAAGTATCTCTTCGAGTCCCTGCTTTCAATTCTTTGTGACTAGACATAGAAGAGGGGGTGATTCCATTTCATTTTTTGAGGAAGCATCATACTGTTTTCCCTGGTAGCTGCACCATTTTACATTCCCACAGTCAAGTGATCCAGTCTCTCCATGTCCTCTTTGACACTTGCTATTTTCCATTTTATTTATGTCTTTAGAGTAGCCGTCCTAATAGGTGTAAAGTGGTAGTTACCTCATTGTAGTTTTGATTTGCATTTCTCTCATGATTCGTGATGCTGAGCATCTTTTTATGCACTTGTCAATTTGTATATTTTCTTTGGACAAATGTCTATATTTAAGTCATTGAATATGAACATGGAAATTTCTACTGTTCATTTGTTAATTGGGCTGAGTTTTCATTGCTGCTGTGATTTTTTAGATACATTTCTGGATATTAACCTCTTATCGTATTTATGATTTTCAAGTATCTTCTCCCTCCTGCGGTAGCCCTTCATCCCATGGATCACGTTCTCTGGCGTACGAAGGTTTCATGTTGGTGAATCCCAGTTTGTCTACTTTTCCTTTTGTTGCCTGTATTTTAGTGTCAGCTCCAAGAAGTCACTACCAGATATAAAGTCACAAAGGTGCTCCCATCTATTCGAAGAGCTTTATAGCTTCGCTGTTCTGTTCAGGTCTTTGATCCACTTTGAGTCGACGTTTGTATGTGGTGTGAGACAAGGATTCACCTTCATTCTAGAAGTGTGTGGATTCTCCGTTCTTGGCGTGTGGATTTCCAGTTTTCCCAGATCCAGGGAAAGGACTGACCTTTCCCGGTTGAACAGCCTTGGTGCCATGAGCGCCCAGTCGTGTCTGATTCTTTGCAACCCCAGGGACTGTAGCCCAGCGGGCTCCTCCGTCCAAGGATTTCCCAGCAAGAACACTGGAGTGGGGTGTCATTCCTCCTCCAGGGGATCTTCCTGACCCAGGTATTGAACCCGTGTCTCTTGAGTCTCCTGCACTGCAGGTGGATTCTTTATCGCCAAGCCACTGGGAAATCCAAATGGTGGGTTTTATTTATTCATATCATTCTAGGTAAAAAAAAAAAATTTTTTTTAAATTTTAATTATTAGCATGAATTTTACCACTCATCTTTGTATTGTACAATGTCAGCTTTAAATGAAAATATAAGGATATGTAACTCTATGCAAAATCATCAAATGACACAGTTCATATTTTCTTGCTCATACATCATATGTTTTCTTATTACTAGAACAGTTGACGGCATTTCTCCAGGATGGCTGCTGTCCCCATGCTTTTCCAGAACCTTCCATCAAGTGGTCGAGTCCACGTCCCCTCCCCTCGAATCTGGGTGGACCTCAGTGGCTGTTCAACCAGTTGCAGAGCAGTTTCAAAGGGAAGGTCACAAAAATGCCAGGTGCTGCCACGGTATTCTCTTAGAAGCCAGCCGCTGTGCTGGGAAGGAGCCCCAACACGGAGAAGAACCAAGACCCCCGCCCACAGCCCGCTGGGCTCCTAGGCACAGCCATGCACACGAACAAGCCCTCACTTTGCTAAGTACAAGGAGCATGCGGCCAGCTGGGTCCCTGCCGCGGGCACCTGCTGTCCGCCAGAGTCTCAGGGGAATCTGGAGGCCTTCCTGGAGCAGGGGACATCTGGGAACACTCCCGAGGTGAGGAAAGGGAGTGAGGCGGTGAATGACAAGACTGGCAGGGGGGATCCCAGGACACCCCACACAGGCAGAGGCCCAGCTCAGGTCCCACAGCGGACCCCTAGACAGCAGCCCCCGCCCTCTCAGGGCCCCGCCCTCTTGTAGGCCCCGCCCACACAAGGCCCCATCCTCTCATAGGCCCCGCCCACACAGGCCCCGCCCCTCACAGACCCCCGTCCTCTGACAGGCCCCGCCCCCGCACAGGCCCCGCCCTCAATAGCCTGGAGGGTCAGCTCTCCGTCCCCTGAACAGGGGTCCCAGGAGACAAAGGGGTGTGAGTGGGGGGTAGGGGCTTCTCACCACTCGCCAGTGACCACGGGTGGGGCCGCCCTCCAGCCGGCCCCTGAGCTGTCCCTCAGATCAGCTGGGTGTCTTCAAGCGCCCCTGAGACCTCAGGTGAAACCACTCCCAGCTCTGGGCCACAGCCAACCACCTATTCTACCGGGGTCACCCCCACGCCCTGGGGACCTCCCCCTGCTCCACCCCGCATGGCAGGTTTGCCCTCCCTGCCCTCCTCGCCACCAGGCCCGCGCCTCCACGCAGGCTGACCCTGACGTTGGCCGGGCCAGCACCGTCCAGGGCGCCCCAGCCCCTGGGAATGCGGCATCAGGCAGGCAGGAGGCAGAGGCGCTGCCCAGGGTACGTCCCGGCTCCTGGCTCCTCCGCGGAGTCTGTTTGTTTTCATAACCAGTTCAATATTTAAGGCCCGGCGAGCCGCTGCCTGAGCTCGCGGGCTCCCCCTTCCTTTGTCTCAGCTCCCCTCCGCCCCTCGCACCTCCTGACAAGCCGAGCGGCTCTGATGGAAAATTCATTAGTGGTCCGGTCCGCCCTCCCGCCCGCGTTCCCAGGCAGCTCCGCGCCCGACGTGTCAGCCTCTCCATCCTGATTATCTGGAGACGCCAATTTCAAAGAGACATCTTAATAGTGATGTCAACGAATTAATTAGATGTGTTAATGAGCTAAAAGCAACCCAAATTAAATTAATGCAGTAATAAGCGCAGACAGCAAAATTAGCTCCAATTTCTCTAAATGATTCTGAACTGTACACAACACCTCATCTCACTAGAACATTACCATCCCCCAAAGCTAATCAAGAACCGGCGCAATTAACTGCTTAATTACAAACAGGCACATGCACGGGCGAGTGCACACGCACACACACACACGCGTGCACTTATGCACACGCGGCAGGCAGGGAGGAGTCAGCCTGGGCCAGCCTGGGGGGTGGGGTGGGGGCTGTAGACCTCCCTAAGTAGCCCAGGTCATCACTTCCTGCCTCCCTTCCTGGCTCCGGGAGGCTCAGCCTCCCCAGCGCCAAGCTGAGTGCTGTGGACAGTGTCAGGTGTTTGGACCAGGCCAGTCAGGGGGAAGGGACAGCTGGAAGGCTCCCCCAGCACCCCTGGGCATCTGCCTGGTGGGGGGCCGAGGTGGGGGAGGAGTGGGGAGGTGGGGGGGTGGGGAGGAAGGGGGCTGGGTGGGGAGGAAGGGAAGAGGGAGGAGGGGCGTGACGGAGGCCGAGGGCAGGGGAGGGGCAGTGTGCTGAGTTGTTTATTGCTTGCATCAGAATCTGAGTTGCAACTAAAGAGCTAATTGTCCAGCCTGGCTGATTTCCCAGCGGGCAGGGAGAGCCGCTAATAGCTTCCAAGCCACTCAGGTATCTGATTAGCTGTAATTGCAGCTGGAGACGAGAGAGAGGTGAGGACAGGAGTGGAGAAATGGGCAGGGAGTGAGGCCGGGGGCCAGAATGAGGCTGGGAGAGGACCAGGCAGGTACAGAGCAGGAGGGGCTACGGCCAGAGAAGGTGAGGGAGGGGGTGGAGGTGGCTTGGGAAGGCCAGCCCCCGGCAGCCTCTCCAAGGACCATGAAGCATACACACACCCTGTGCGGATCCAGGACCCCGCTGCCCCGGCCACGCCGTCTCTGGGGAGGCCTGCGCCCTGGCAGGCCCGTATGTAAAATGGGGCATGGTCCGCCTCGGGGGCTGGGCATGAAGGCTGCACCCAGGACCCCGAGCCAGGCGACGGGAGTGGGCCAGGGCTGCACAGTCGGTGCCGACAGGTAGGGGCTGGAGGAGCCTGTGGGCACCAGGCAGGCGGGTGGCGTAGCCGGGACCCCCACCCGCCTCCCGCCCTCCCGCCTTTTATAGGAAAGAGTTCTGTCTCCTAAGCCAAGAATGATTTTGTTCATGTCTGATCGATTCAGGGAGGAAGGAGATGATTGATCAGCCCCCGCCAACCGGGCCCCCTACTCCAGGCACCCCTTCCCAGAGGAGGGCAGGGTGGGGTCCCCAGGAGGACCACAGACAGGGTCGGGGGCAGGGGGCTGCCAGCCCCCATCAGTCTACAAGCTGCCCTCCCCCTGATGCAGGGCCTCTCCCCGGCCCTGTTCCCCGCCCTCCTCATTTCCTGGGTGTTTTCCCCTTGTGCGTATGTTCACTTGTCCATCTGTTTGTGTTTCAGTGTATTGATTCCTTAAAATACATTCATTTCCATCCTTGCTCCAAATGAGAAGGGAGGTGACGCCACCTCATTAACCCGTCAGCCGCGCCGCAAGCTGCAGCCCCATGGTGGCACCCCGCCCCCGAGGACCGAGGTGACGGTCACACCCCTGCCCCCGGGAGCTCCTGGGTGCTGAGCCCCAGCACGTGCTCTGATGATGGGCTGGGGAACCCCTGTGCACCAGGGGCAGAGGACAGGCCAGGGAGGTGGCTTTGGGGGGGCAGGATGTGGGTTAGTGGGGTGGCACAGTGGGGTGCCAGATGTTACATGGAAGGAAAGTGGGGGGCTGCTGGAGCCCCGAGGGGGTGGCCCCTCATAAGTCCCAGAGCCAGGCCTCACCCCCTTGGCCTCTGCTTTCAAGCCTGCAAAATGGGGGCATCGCAGCTGTGCTCTCAAGGAAAAAAAGGCTCAGCGACTTTGGGGCCAGCAGAGACTGCAGCCACCCAAGGCCACCCAGGCCACGGGCCCAAGGATGAGGCATCACGCAGTGCTCCTGAGTATGGGCAGGGCCGTGCCCCTGGGGCCGGAGTGTGTGGTCCCCAGGCTGGGGCCTCGCTCCAGTGTACTGGTGAGGAGAGTGAGGCTGGGGGCCAGGGGTGGATACGGCTCAGGGTCACCAGCCCTCTGCGTGTCCCCGTCCAATGCCAGGTGGTCGCCTTTGCCCGTGATTCCAGGACTTCATTTCTCAGCAGAAAGAAAAGATTGTTTTGCTCAGCAAGTGTTCTGACGAGCTTTCTCCTCCCGAGCAGGGGTGAGTCCCAGAGGCCCTGGGGTGGGGACAGCGGGCGTCGGGGTAGGAGGGGCTGTGGGGCCGCAGGTGATGCGGGAGGGCGGGGCCGCAGCTGATGCGGGAGGGCGGGGCCGCAGCTGGCCAATCGGATGGCTGGACGCGGCGGTCACGTGACCGCGCCTTGGTCTCCATCCTCCGTGGACAGCTTGTGTGCTGGGGGCTTCTGTGGCCGGGGAGGGTCCTGTATCAAGGCCCAGGTGCTCGTGGCCGTGCCGTTTGCATCCACACAGGTGCACACGCGGGCCGGCCAGCTGGCCTCGGTGAGCCGGGCGCACACCTGGACGCCTCCAGGCTCCCACAGCCCACACCAATTAGGAACTCACTCTGCATTATTTTAATTTGTCTCTGGGGCCCTGGAAGGAAAGTCTTGCGATTATTATTATATTTTGGTTGCAAACTCCAGTCACCATTATATAAATTACGTATAATTGAATCCATCAGAGGCAGTTTCTTTTAAGCAATCATGTTTCCCCTTCCCGATCCATGGTCATCCTCTCCTCAAAACTGACCTCCATGCTCCTGCTGAGAACTTTCTGACCCTTTCGAGGAGGAAGGAGGCCTGTGGATCACCCGACCACCTCACCCACGGGATACCGGGTGCTTAAAATCTGACTGTCATGAGGCCCGCCCCTACAGTGCCACGTCTCGCTGTGTGACCTCCAGCTAGTTGCCTGCCCTCTCTGGGCCTCAGTTTTCTCCTCTGTGACAGTCCCTGCCCCAAGGGGCTGGCATGAGGCTTCAAGGCAATAGATAATGCCTGGAAGGCCCTCCACGTGGTGCCCACTGGGAGCATCCTGCTTGGGGATCTCTGCCTCCAGCCTCCCAGCCCAGAGCGCAAGCACCCAGTACTGGGATCTGTTTTCATCAGGTGTGAGGGACACAGACTCGGACGTGCCTGTCATGAAAGAAGTTCATGCTATTGTCGCGTTCCCGCAGGGCCACACGCAGAAGCCCCAAGGTCGGGCAAGAGGTCGCGTGAGGGCCACTGCGGGCCCGGGGCTGCCCTTGGTGGTCTGGGACCTGCCTGGAGGCGAAGGCAGGCAGACCATGGCAGGAGGGTGCCAGCTCCTGGAGGAAGGGGTGGCGGGCTCTGCAATGGCTGGTTTGCGTCTGAAAAGCGCATCCTGGCAGATGAGTTTTATCTGTCTCTGGGACTCGGCTAACCCTGGTCGGGGGGCTCAGCCAGGCCCCCATGCGTGTCAGAGCTTCAAACAGACAGAAAATAAGGAAACACAGTTAATATGAAATCCAAGTGATGCCGGCAATGGAGCCCTCCGTCGGGGCCGAGAGAGGAGGCTGTCCCTGAGTGCAAGTGAGGACACTGAGGCCCAGGAGGAACCGCTTGCCTGAGGTCATGCAGGGGGCCGGGCAGGGTCTGGTGAAGACCAGCTTGGAGACTGCACCTTCCTTGGGCTGGGGCTGCGGGCTGCTGGGGGACGGAGGAAGGGCTGGATGTGGGAGCCGTGCTGGTCTGCATCACGGGCCGTCAAGGACCTGGCCGTGCGCACAGGTGCACAGCCAGGGCTCCGTCAGCGCCCGCTCTCTGGGGGACCCCGTCTGCCCTGCGGGGGGTGCCACGTTGGGTCAGAGGCCAGGATGGCACATGCCCTTTGCCGGCTGCTATGGGGCCAGCAAGACACAGGACTGCTGCTGTCCCTGTGGGGAAAGGGTCGGTTGACATGAGTCCTTGTGCAACCACACAGCCCTTCCGGATACACAAGAGACCGCTGGCGGCCTGGGCTCTGCTGACAGGCAAACTTGTTTGTTGCTCCAGCCCAAAGTGCTGCCCTAAGCGTGTTTTTCACCACGTACCTGTGTTACTTTCTTTCCAAAGAAATTTCAAGCACTTCTAAATGTCCAGCAAGAAAACTGAGAATCTCTCCATGCACAAAGCTGTACACGGATATTCACAGCAGTGCAGCTCACAACAGCCAAAATGTGGGACCAGCCCAAACGTGCATCACAGGATGAGGGGATAACAAACATGGTTATAGGATTCAGCTTCAGAGACAAAGGAAGCACTGAGCCCGCTACAACATGGACGGGCCTTGAAGACGTACACACGAAAGAGGAAGAAGTCAACACAAAGGACACGTGTCCCATTGAGAAGAAATGTCCGAAATGAGCAAATCTCTAGAAACACAGGGGCGTCCCAGGTGCAGCTCATGGTAAAGAACTTGCTTGCCAATGCAGGAGATGTAAGAGACGAGGATTCCGTCCCTGGGTCAGGAAGATCCCCTGGAGGAGGGCAGGGCAACCCACTCTAGCAGTCTTGCCTGGAGAATCCCATGGACAGAGGAGCCTGCAGGGCTACGATCCCTAGTGTCGCAAAGAGAGGACCCGACTGAAGCATGCATGCCCACATAGAAACAGAGAGGGCTGGGGGTTGGGGAGGATGGGGAGTGACCGCTGGTGGGGGCGGGGTTTCTTTTGGGGGTGACGACCCCGTACTGGGGTGGGGTGGTGCTGACGGCCGCACTGCTCTGCGCTCGCACTGAGAATGCTGAAGTGTACGCTTCAGAAAAGAGAATTGTGCGTCTAGCATGAGTTCCCCGCGGCTGCTGTAACAAAGAACCACAAGCTAGGTAGCCGGAACCACAGGTCCTGGAGGCCAGAAGTCAAGGTGTCGGCAGGGCCCGCCTCCCTCCAAGGACTCTAGGGTGTGCTGCCAGCCGCTCCAGGATTGGCTCCTGGGGCGGGGGGAATCCTTGGGTAGCGGCCACATCGCTCCAATCTCTGTCTCCATCTTCCCGTGACTTCTCTTCTAGTAAGGACACCAGTCATCTTGAATCAGAGCCCACCCTAAAGCCCTCATCTCACTTGGATTACTTCTGCAAAGACCTTATTTCCAGGTAAGGCCTCATTCCAGTAGTCATGTATGGATGTGAGAGTTGGACTATAAAGAAAGCTGAGCACCGAAGAATTGATGCTTTTGAACTGTGGTGTTGGAGAGGACTCTTGAGAGTCCCTTGGACTGCACGGAGATCCAACCAGTCCATCCTAAAGGAAATCAGTCCTGAATATTCATTGGAAGGACCGATGCCGAAGCTGAAACTCCAATCCTTTGGCCACCTGGTGCGAAAAACTGATTCATTGGAAAAGACCCTGATGCTGGGAAAGATTGAAGGCAGGAGGAGAGGGGATAACAGAGGCTGAGATGGTTGGATGGCATCACCAACTCGACGGACATGAGTTTGAGCAAACTCTGGGAGTTGGTGTTGGGCAGGGAGGCCTGGCGTGCTGCAGTCCATGGGGTCGCAAAGAGTTGGACACAACTGAGCGACTGAAAACTGAACAGGTTCCAGAGGTTAGGACATCTTTGGCAGGGACAGTCACAGTTCACCCCACCGCACTTGTGAATTGTATCTCAATTATTGTTGTTTAGTCACTAAGTTGTGTCTGACTCTTTGTGACCCCATGGATAGAAGCTGTTATTTCTTCTAGAAAGTTTTAAACATTAAAATATAGAAAGAAAAGAAATATACCCCAGTGTAGGGGGCACGGAGCTTGAATCAAGCTGGGAAGTGACCAGTCTGGGAAGAGCAGACGCGACTCTCCGCTGGGCTCCCTAATAATCTCTCGAATAATGTCCGAGAAGGATAGCAGTGATAACCAGATCCCCGGCCTGTTGGTCCCGGCTGCCCTGATCACCGGGGCTTCGTGGAAGGCCCGCCCCTGGCCCGGACCTGAGCTCTGGCCCCGCCCACCCTCCTGGCCCCTCCCGCCCCCCCACGCCCCACCCCAGGCCTGTCAGGCGCCCACATCCCCAACTTGTAAAGTAACAACCTGTCACATGCACAACCTCTTTGCACCCAAAATGTTCTCTGATCTGTGTAAACTGCAATTGAAGCTGCAGCGCTTGATATTAATATCTTTTGTTTGTGTGTCAGGGTTCTGCAGAATCTAATTAAGGCGTGTTCTCTGCGTATCCGGGGTGTTGGAACAATTCCGCGGAGCAGACAATGCAAGCTGTTGACCTGCAAGATAAACTGTGCTTACGCAGAATTTGGGGGCGGTGGGTGGGCGGCACACGGCTGCTCTTTTCTGCGAGGCACCAGCCACCCACTCGCCTGTCAGCCCTGGGTGCCTGCGGCGGGGGGCGTCTTCACTGGGGGGCGTTTATCACTGCAGCGGTTTTCTGCGTGTACCTCTGTGTATACACACGGGCATACGTGTGCACACACACAGATGCACAGGTACACGGGAGGCGGCCTCCCTGGCCAGGCGACTCCTGTCTCAACAGCCCCTCCCTGCCATGTATTGAGGTGGACCTAACAACTCTTATCAGAGATGAGGAAGCCAAGGCCTGAGACGGCTGTGTTAAGGTGGAGAACGGTGACTCTGAGAGGCCTCTGGGCGCCAGACAAGCCTGCGTCTGGGGGACGGGGAGCTGGGCCTGGGCTCGGCCCCAGTCAGGTGAGGCCACATGGCCCAACCTTCAAGGCAGGCCCAGGTAAAACTCATCTCTCCTGGACAGACGGGGAAACCGAGGCCCAGAGGGGTCAGGGGCTTGTCGGCGACACACAGCGGACTGGTGGCAGGCTGGGTCCTTCCTGACCACAGCCTGGAGGCTGAAAATAAGTGTCCTTCCATTCCAGGGCAGCTTTGAGACACCCTCCACCTATGGTCCTGGCCCCCTCTGCGGGGGACCTTGGCCAGCGCCAGGCCTACTCGGATGTCAGTTACTCCCCTGGGAGGCAGGGTTGATGGGGGCATCATGGCAAAGTGACCAGCCCACCAGCCCTGCCTGACCTAGCGCCCAGTGGGGCTGCCGTCTCACTGCTCCTGTCCCAGCTCCAGGGTCGGCAGCCCTGCTTCAGCCTCTGCCCCGCCCCACTCGGGACCTGCCTGCCCACCGGGGCGCCAAATAGAGGGGTCCACTCCAGGTCTGAGGGGCTTCCTTTGGGCTCCGCATTTGCAAGTTGGAGACGGGACTGCAGACTCTGAGAGCCCCGAGTAGAGAAAACCGGAGCTGAGGTCTGCTGAAGGCCAGGTGGGGAAAGACTCCAGGACCCCGGGCTGCAGGAGGAGGAGGCCAGCCAGGAGGCAGACAGCCTGAGCCCGGGATTCAGCGGAGCAGGGAACCAGTGTGGCCCTGCGCGGCGCGGGTCTGCTCCCGTGTGTGTATGTGTGTAAGGGAAGCGCAGGCACGCGGCTTACGTGTGCACAGAACCGGGTGCACACGCACCCGTGCACATCGTGTCTGTGCGCACGGAGCACCTGCCCCACGCACCCGGCCGGGCCTCGCCGCCCGCGCGCTTTAGGAGACGCCGCAGCGCCACCTGCTGGCCCCGCTCCCGCCGCACGGAGGGCGCACGGCGGGACAAGAGGCCCCGCCCCGGTGGCCCCGCCACAGGCCCTCCTCCCGATGCCCCGCCCCCAGGCCCAGGCCCCGCCCTTTGAGGCCGTGGCCCAGGAGGCGGCCCTGGGACCCTGACCCACTGGTGCCTGGGAGAGGTGGGCACCGGGGCCTGAGCTTCTGGGAGCCCGACTGAAGTGGGGACCCCTGCGATGATTAAACGTGCACCAGGGGCACAGCACACTGCCCTGACATGGCCCCATTTTACAGATGCAGAAAATGTCACCCACCAAGTTTCCACGGGGGTGGAGGGTGGGGTGAAGTTTGAGTGCAATGTGCGTTCAGCCACGACCAGCAAACTGAGATGCATTTGTTAACTATTAATTAGTAGTTATTTACAAGTACCGACCCCATTAGCCCTCGCACCGCTTTGCAATAGGTGTGCTGACAGCCACTCCAGGAGCCCTTGCAGGGCTCTCCGTGTATCTGTAAGTGAGGGGTAGGGGTCACCCTGCCTTCCGGGCTGCCACCAGTGCCTGACAGGAGCAGGAATTTGGGTTGGGAGCGGAAATGGTCAGGAGTTCAGAGCAGTAAGTAGGGTTGACCCCATAGGCCTGGCTGTTCCTAGCAGTACAGTGTTGGGGGGTGGCTAGAATAGGTATTTTCTCAGGTTCTGTCCCTGCCGCCCGCCTTCCCCCCCCCCCCCCACGACCCCGAAAGGCAGTGCAGGATGCCAGGAATCTGTGAGGGACTGAGCAGGGACTGGCAGTTCGGGACGTCAAGCGTCCGGCCCCCTGCGGGGTCCCTCCCGGCGCCCATGCCAATCCCTGATGGGAAGTTCGAGCGCCTCTGCCTGACCAGGCCCCCACGCCCACCATCCTGCTCCAAGGGAGGGGCCTCTTGGAAAAGAAGGGGCTGCCAGGGCAGATGGTGTCGGCCTGGGTGCCAGCCCAGTTAAAGTCGCCAGAGGAGCCAGGAAGAGCCTGCTGCTGGGAAAGCCTCTGCCAAGTGCATGGCAGGCCCTGCACCTGGGGGGCGGGGGGCCACACCAGGGAGACCCTGGGGGGTGAGAGGGAGGGGCAGCTGCTGGCCTGGCTTGGCGATGTCCCTGACAAGCTTGACCTTCGGCGAGTCCCTCTGCCAGCCCTCCTTTCCCAGGCCCCCAGGCCCTGCTCTCCGAACTCCTGCCCACCAGCTGTGTGGGCACCTAGTCACGCACAGCTCCATTTGTACCCCACTGGGCTCCTGACTGGCTGTGCGGCTTTGGGCAGGCTGCTTCACTTCTCTGAGCCTCAATGGCATCATCTGGAAAATGGGCTGATGCCTGGGCTGGCTCTGGCTGGGGCGTGGGTCCAGATCCAGCCTCCGAGACCCTACTGTGGGATGTCGCGGCGACAGGTGCAGGTCACTGCTGGTTCACTCCGTCCACACAGCCGGCCCGACAGGCCAATGGGCCTTTGTTTTACAGGTGGGACAACGGAGGCGCGGGCAGTGCGCCTTCCCCATGGAAGCTGTAAACAGGGCTTGAAGTGGATCACTGCACCCATCTTCAGGCCAGGATCCCCCGCCTCACCTCTGCCTGACCTGGGGGCTGGACTCGGGACCCCAGGAGGGAGGACGTCTACACGGCTCAAGGACTGTGGTGCTGCTGAGCCCTTCAACCCGGTTTACAGTCAGCCTGAGGCTGGGGCAGAGCTGGGGGAGCCTGAAGTATGCGTGCCTCTGACGACCATCGCAGGCTGGACATGCCATGGGCGGGACAGCCACCTGGACCCCCAGCCACATGGCATGCAGCACACACAGCCCAGAGCATACCGTGGCCACACCCCCACGCTGAAGGCAGGCTCCCCTCTGGGGCCCCAGAGAAGAGCAGGAGCCAAGGGGTCGGGGCCTGACTTCCTCCATCCTTGGGTTCAACCCCCAGCTCAGAGCGAGGAGGCCTGAGGCCAAGGGCCCAGGACAGACGCCCCTCCAGGCTGTAGCCGTTTGCCTGATCCCCCCCCACACACAGACACACGTGCACACACATATGCACACAGGTGTGCCCAGACTCACACCTGCCCACCCACCCACCACAGGTGTGCCTGTAGGCTGTAGGCTGAGTTAAGTCAGGTACCTGCTTTCATATGTTGACGCTGGGCAGACAAATGTCCACTGCAGTTGCTGGAAGGATGGACGGATAGACAGGGAGGGAGGGACAGACAGGCAGATGGTGGGTAAAAAAATTGAAGCTGAGTGCACTGCTCACACCCCCATTGTTTCCTGGTCAAGACCGGTTACTCTAAGGCCTGCTATGAACCCATTTCATAGATGAGGAAACAGAGGCAGGAGGTACGAAGTGACTGGCACGGGGTCACACGGCGAGCTCTCAGTGATGCCCAGGACCCAGTCTCCAGGGAGGAGCCTGCCTGGCCTGGTGATGCAGGTGGTGTTGGCACGATAGCCATGCAGATCTCAGGCACTGGTTTCAGCATCTCCTGCAGTCCTGTACCAGGGGCCACCTGCTCCCCTGGGCCTGCAGGTCAGGCCTCAGTGGCCTGGGGACCTGCCCCACCTGGCTCTCTAGACCCCCTCCCCACCTAAGCCGGACCCGAGAGGCTCAGAAGCAGTGCACAGCGGGATGAAGCCCGGAACTCTCCCCGCCCACAGCGTTCACAGCACACGGTACTCAGAAGCTTGTAATTAAACACTTGAGTGTCATCAGATACCCCAGCACGGGGCCTGATGAATTCATCACCAGGACACAGACCCCTCGCTTTCCTCCTCCCCACCCAGTGTGCAGTGGTGGCCCTGAGCTGCAAAGTGGGGACGACGTTCTAGGAGAGCAGAGCCCACTCACCCCACCCCCACAGGCCCCCTCCCACCCCCAGCTCTAGCAGCCGCCCACCCAGGCGCCAAGGCCAGAGACAGGGGTCCTCCTGGCCCTGCTCAAGACTCAACTCCTGAGCTGCCCACCCCCCCCCCTTACTGTCCCTTACTCCCACCCACCCCTGCCCCCGAGTCCTGTCCGGCCCACCCGGAGGGGCCCGGATGCAGCCCCTCCACCACCTCCCAGGCAGCCAGACTCATGTTCTCAAAACCCGCATCTGACGACGGGACTCTTCCTCCAGAAACCCAGAACCCCAGCCTAAGCCTGAGAAAAGCTTCAGATAAACCCAAACGAAGGGGCGCCCTGCAAAATGCCCGCCTAGAGGCCCTCAGAAGCAAGGACTGTCACAAAACAAAGGAGACGCGGGGACGGAATGTCACGTGGGATCGCAGAACAGGAAAGGGGATTAGCGGAAACAAGGAAATCTGAGTCAAGTGTGGGTGAACTACCAGGAAGGTACCAGCCTGGGTGTCTCCGCCAGCACCCACAGCCCACCAGATGAGGTGAGATGTTGCAGGAGGGGGGTGGCCTGTGTGTGCCCAGGAGCCCTCCCTGCCGTCTCCGCACCTGCTCTGTAAATCTAAACTATCCTAAAATAAAAAATGTTTTAAAATGAGATAAAGTGCGTACCAGGGATCTGATTAAAGTATGGTGAAATGTTCACAGCTGTTTAATCTTGGTTGGGAGTGGGGGTTTCCTGGGGGGCACTAGTGGTAAAGAATCAAAGAACCCTCTTGCCAATGCAGGAGAGGTTAAGAGACACGGGTTCGATCCTGGTCGGGAAGATCCCCTGGAGTAGGACCTGGCAACCCACTCCAGTATTCTTGCCTAGAGAATCCCGTGGACAGAGGAGCCTGGCCGGCCACAGTCCATGGGGTCACAGGTGTGTCGGACACGACTCAGCGACTGTGGTGAGGCAACTGGTATCTGTTATATTGTTTTCTGTGTGTTTGAAATGTCTCATAATTAAACATTTAAGAAAAAACAAACCCAAATCTAGTACATTACCCAGCCCTGACACCCTCCAAAGCCCCCCTTAAACTTTAGGATTTAGTGCAAAATTCTTAACCTCCTCCACAAGACAGCCCAGGACTCTCCCGCCCACCACTTTACCCTGATGTCACACAGGGCCTGGCCAATCCCTAGGGCTCTGCCCTCTGATGTCACACAAGGCCTGGCCAATCCCTAGGGATTTGCCCTCTGACATCACACGAGACCTGGCCAATCCCTAGGGCTCTGCCCTCTGATGTCACACAAGGCTTGGCCAATCCCCAGCATTTGGCCTCCGTGTCACACAGGGACAAACGCCTTCAAGTTTGCCTGGTTCTGGCCCCTGGACCAGGCTGCCCGCCTGCAGCTCTGGCAGATCCAGCCTTTGTAGGGAGGGGTCACCTCACTGGACATCATGAGTTGTGGTGCCTGAAGCTCTCCCTACCCCCAGGCCCAGGTCTAGGGGCCACCTGTGAGGCAGGCGTTGTTCTCCCATTTCAGAGATGGGGAAGCCGAGGCTTCCCAGTGATTAGAGGGGTGTGGGCTAGAAGCCAGAGTCTGTCCTGTGGACCAACGCTTTCCGCCTCACTGCCTTCCTGGCCCTGGTTTCCCACCTGTGAAGTATTTCCGGGGCCACAAGACCAGCCTGGGTGGAAGAAATCTTGGGGCCCTTGTATTCTGGGCCCTCTTACCTCTCAACACTAGGGTGAAGGACACCATAGTAATTTTACTGAGCACCTTCTATATGCCAAGCCCTGGGTTTACAATAGCATTGATTCAAGTCCTGGGTGGGGCTTGTGTTCTGGAGGTGGGGGGCAACTGACAGTATACAAACAGGTGCATACTGTACTGACTGGAGGTTTGTGAAGAACGCAAGAGGCCAGGGGCCTGGGAAATCATGGCAGTGAAGGAGGATGTCCCAGGAGGCCCCTCGAAAAACCAAGACCTCCTTGAGCAGGTGAGGGAGCCAAGCAATGACTCAGGGAAAAGCATCACAGGCCGGCGAGAGCGGGTGCAAAGGCCCTGAGAACAGCAGAGAGGCCAGCGCGGCTGCAGCAGAGTGAGGGGACTCGAGGAGACCAGGGCCTCCTGGGTGACAAGCCCCCCGGGGACATCCGTGGTCCCAGGTCACACAGGACCAGGCTGCTGGAGTCTGGGGGCTGGCCGGCTGGTGGGCCCTGGATGTCTTGGGTGCCTACTGCACCAGGCTCTTCCAGCGTCTTCAGAAGTCTCCCTCTGGTTTAGTGAGTGCCGCCCCCCCTGCCCATCACAGGACTGGCAGGGAAATGGGGGCCAGCAGGGATGGGGCAGGAGGGGCGGCCAACAGTCTTCAGAGTCCGGGCAGCCTGACTCCCATCATGCCAAAGGGAAACTGAGGCCCAGAGGAGACTCAGAACAAGCTTCTGGGACTAGCTCTTGGCTAGTCCTGCTACACCTGCTTCCCCCGCCAGGTGTATACAGGTAGGCAGGCAGGTGCATGGCTTACCTGCTGGGCAGGTTTAACAGGGCACAGCCAACTGTTCTGATGGGAGAACCAGTCAAAGTGCCAGGCAGAGCTAAAGGCCCTACGAGGCCAGGTGAGTCCACCAACTGGGCTTCCAGAAAGGGAAACTGAGGCCCGGAGCAGGCCTGCCAGCTCCTAAGAAGCTACAGTGCACCTGGGTCAAATGGTGCCCCCTCTTCCCGCCCTGTCCCCCGGCCTCGTGACAAAAAGACGCCTGGGCCGGGGGCTGCGGCCCACCGTGGACTCACCCTGCCCCAGCCCCCAAGGAACAATTTACCTTTCAGAGCCGGTCCAAGATATTAATTAAGATAAATCTACCTCAATTTTGAGATTCTCTTATCATGTAATTTATCAAAATTATGTTAATTATTTCTGTAGGGCAGCAAAATTATTACCTCTTTTGTGTCTGATTTGTATTAATATTCATAATTTAATAATTCAGCATCCTGGCCATCTGGTTCAGGAGCAGCTCCCTTCCCTCCCTCGGTCCTTGCAAGAGCGTCCCCACCACGCTGTCCGTGTCCCTGGGGCCCGGCCTCCCTGGTCCCCACACCTTCTTGCGTCCAGTTCTGTGGTTGCCGCCCGCAGCCAGCCCGCCCGGCCCAGGGCCCCCGTGGCCTCAGCCTGCAGGTTGAAGCGCAGGTACCGCGCGCACACCGCCACCCCCGCTTGGCAGGTGAGCCAAGCTGAATTGACATTTTCCACACTTTGTGAGTTTTACACTGTAATTTGACATAATTAATGCCTACATTACTGCTGATAATTTAGCTAGTTAATTAAACTCGGAGGAGATAATTAAGGAAAGGCTACTGCTTGGATTGCTAATTGTTTTTGTCATTATTTCAGGGGCCGACAGCTGCCGGCTGAGTCATCCTGTTTTGTCAGCTGACAGGTCACATGATGCGGGGGTCCCCTGGGGGGCCCCCCACTTCCAAGGGAGGGAGGCACGCAGCCGCTACCTGGCTGCTGCCTGGAGCCCGGCCAGGTTCTGCTGGCTGGTCCTGCCCCTCCCCCTCCTCCCGCTGAGGCGACAGCCGCCCCCACCCGGAGCACTGGGTCTGCGGCGACTCCAAGGTCAGCCTGAGCAAGCCGGGGGAGGAGGGCAGCCCTCCCAGCCCTGCCTCCCAGCCCATGGGCTGGCGTGCCTGGGCAGCACCCCAGCCTTCTGCAACAGGCAGATAGAACGGGGGCTTCCTGGGTCTGCTGGGAGTCAGCACAGATTGTCCCAGGCGGCGGAGAAAGACTGGAGGCCGTGGGAGCAGGTGTGGGGGGCGGGACTGTGCGCCCAGCTCGCTGACGTCCATCAGCAGGTGGATCTGGCTTTGGAGAACTACTCTGACTTTGCTCCAACCCTCCCAAGGGTGGAGGGCTGCCCACCCACTGTGGCAGGTAGACCTGAGACCAGAGGAAAGGGGAGACGCTGAGATCCGCCCCCCCCGGCGGGCCACACTCCGCGATGAGCCGACAAAGCGCACACAGCCACCTGCCCACGGCACAAGGGGTGTCACGCTGTCACCGGCGCCTCCACTTTCGGGGAAGCTCCAGGTCGCACCGCAGACCCGATGCAGGCCCCAGGGAGGGCAGGGAGGGCAGGGAGCGCGGGAGGGCGGGCTGCTGGTCCCGGGCCACGCTGCCACAGAGGGGGGACAGCCCTGAGGGAGTATGTGATCCCGTGGTCAGGGCCAGGGCCTCATCTCCGTGGGGCTCACACCGGCAAGGGGAAGGACTGCACACGTAGCTGGGCATCCTTAGAGGGCTCGACCTGGCTCTCAGAACATGCAAGGCAGAAGCTGAGACAATCCTGGTTTATCATCCCTTGGAACAAGAAGTCTCCACGTAGGAAAGTTCTAGATCAGCTCATTCGGGGCAAGGCAACAGCCACAGGATGTCAGCAAACATCCAGGAGCCTTCCCTGTCTCCGTCCTGCCAGTCTCTGTGTGGTGACCGTATCTTCCCTCGTGGTCCCAAGCTGGCTGCTGTGGCACCGTGAGTCCCAAGTCCCACCCTGGCACCCCCACGTCCCAGGTAGCACCCAGCAAAGACGGGAGGGGGGTGGTGTCTCGCTTAGTCATATGACTGTCTTAACGGCAGGTTTGCAGGGAGGCCTAGAAACGTGAGCTTTTCTCCCAATGAGCCTTCTTCCTTTCTGCTTTTGGCAAGAGCTCTAGCTTGGCCCATGAGAGCTGGCTTCCCTCCCACAGCAGAGCTCCTTCGTGGAATGCTTCACCAGTCTGGATGAAAGTGCTGTTAGCAAATCTGCAGTGTCCTTCCTCTAGCTTTCGGCTTGGCTACCTTCACCCCAAACACCTCTCTCATAAGACTTATCAAAGGCCACAAGAAGCAGTCAGTTAACACTGATATTCTGACTATTTTCCTACTATTTCCCCAGCTTTGATGAATCTGTGGTCTGGAAGCTAAGGCAGCACAGGTTAACAGCTGCATCTAACTTTCCATGAGTTCACATTACGATCACCAACTTCCCAACCAGAGCGCCGGGCCTCACTGCCCGCTGCCCACCGGCCCTCCTGCAGACAGTTCCACAGTCTGAGGTTTTGCTAGTGGCCACACCTCCATTCCAGGAAATAAATTCCCAGTCATCTACAAATATCAGAAAATCTGAGTAAAACAAAAAGGGGATGATTTTCCCATACAGCGTAGGTTGAACGATGCCCCCTAAAACCTCATGTCTGCCAGGAACCTCACACGCAACTGTATTTGGAAATGGGGTCATCAGAGAGGGCCCTGATCTGGTGTGACGTGTCCGTGTGAAAGGAGGCGTCTGGACCCAGACCTGCGCTCCGCGGATTGCTGGCAGCACCAGGAGCTAGTGAGAGGCCCAGAACAAGCCTTCCTCACAGCCTCAGAGGGAGCCAACTCCACAGACACCTTGGTTCCGGAACGGGGTACTTTCTGGCTGCACCACGTGGCTCATGGGATCTTAGTTCCCTGAGCAGGGATTGTGTCCAGGCCCTCGGCAGTGAAAGCGCAGAGCCCTAACCACTGGGCTCCCAGGGAATCCCCAAATGTCTGTTTTTCAAGCTAGCAAGTTAGTCGTACTTTGTTCTCACAGCCCTAGGAAACTCATACACCGCAAGAAACCCAGAGATGCAGAGGTTCTGAGCGCGTACTAAGACTCTCAGTCGTGTCCGACTCTTTTGTGACCCTGTGGACTGCAGCCCGCCAGGCTCCGGTGTCCATGGGATTCTCCAGGCAAGAACACTAGAGTGGGTTGACATGCCCTCCTCCAGGGGATCTTCCTGACCCAGGGATCGAACCCGGGTCTCCCGCATTGCAGGCGGGTTCTTTACGGTCTGAGCCTCCCAGAGCCTCCTTTACTGGGGATGAGAATGGCCATGATTGGCTTGTACGAAGTGTGACTCATTTCCTAGGGTTAGGGAGGGGGCCGTCTGCCCTGAGCCAAGGATACCATAAGCCATCTACCCTGGAGGGGGACAACCAGACGAAATGGGGAAGCCAGCAGGGTCTGCTCTCCGGCACATGCAGGGCCCTGGGAGTGAGCAGCGGAGGGGACACTGCGGGGACTCTGGTGGGCAGCGGGTGGGAACAGGCCCCCTGTGGGAACTAGACAGCAGCCACTCAGCCCGGCTGGGAGCAGCCCGGTCAGAGCGCCGCTGGCTCTTTGATAAGAGGGGCGGTGGGGTCTGGAAGGAGGGCAGGGGCAGGGGTGGTGGCCGAGGGTGGTGTCCGCACCCCTAGAGGTGGGCAGGAATAGAGGGCCACCGAGCCGGCACAGGTGGACGTCCCCAGCGGGCACGCGGGGTCGTAGCCACTGACGGGGCAGCAGCCCTGACTGCCGGACAGAGGGTTCAGGCCACGGCCGCGAGGGCCGGGCACGTGATGGTGAACTCTCGCTGCTGCACTAAAAAAACGAGCAAGAGACGAGATCAGTCTCGTAGTATATCTTATTGAACCTGATATGTGTGAAATGTCTCCATTTCAATATGTGATCAACATAAAATGCTCTGAACGGGCGGTCCTGTCCTTCCCGCGAGCACAGTGTGGGAAAGCCCGCCCGCCTCTCACCCTGGGGCGAGCTTTCCCGGGACTGGCCGGGCTGCAGGTGTGTGACGACGCCCCAGCCATCACCCAGGCCGTCTGAGTGCCCCTCTTCCCCGGACTGGCGAGTGGGGGGCTCTGCCAGAACTCAAGGCTGCAGCCCAGCTTCTTCTGCCCCAAGGAAGCCCAGGTGCACTCAGGGTCACCCCTGCTGTTCACCTACCTGCCTGCCCTCCGACCCCCAGCTCCGAGGGGCTTCCTTCCCCCCCTACGCGCCCCTCTGGCCGCTCAGCTTGTCCCTCACGGTACCAGCAGTCCCTGCCTCTCCCCCTCTGTCCTAGAGACAGCATTTTCCCGCTAAGATGCCCCCAACCCCCCGTGGAGCCTTGGACCCTGGCCCCAGCCCCCAACTCACAGAGAGAGGTGGATCCACCCCGGGGGGCCAGCCCTGGACGCCCCCATCCCCTCTCCCCAGCAGGTCCTCCCGCCTCAATAAACGAGAGGAGAAATGGCCCATATGGAAGCGTCACATTGTTAAAACCACTGATGAAGTTTCACACAGCCGTGCGGTTTCAGCTTTTTAATTTAATACGATATAATTTCAATTTGTGATAAGATAAGATGTCCTCAGATTGCACTCCGATTGGATTCCATCCTCACGGACTTTGGGAGGTGTCACCGGCTGCAGGTGAGGCGTGTGTCAGGGGGACAATCTTGGCTAACAGCATACTGGGCCAGCGGTCACACCATCCGCCTTCATCAGGGTCTCTGGCCCACCTGGCAGAGCCTGTCGGCACAGAGCCTGGGACCCCGGGGTAGGATGGCTGGGAGAGGCGCCTGGGTGGGCCTTCAGAGGGGTCCCAGGCCCCCTGGCCCCCGGGCACAGGTCTCTGCTGGGAGGGGTGGGAGGAGGCATAGGGAGGCCCTGGAGTCAGAGCGCTGCTGTGAGGGGGCCGGGAGCGCCAGCAGCCGCAGGGGCGGGGAGGCTGCACGCGAGGCATGAGGAGGGCCAGGACCCCATCTTCCCGCCGCACCCCTCCTGCAGGGCTGGGAGCCTGTGGGCCGAGGGGGTGTCCACCCTGAGCTCACGTCCACTGCCCACACAGCGTGCTCTGGGTCCCTGGGCTCCAGGGTGCCCTGATCTGACAGCCTAGCTCTGACACCCTCCTTGGCGTCTTCACGAGCCCCCATCCACTGGTATGCACGCTCCTAGGCCCACCCCTGCATCTACCAGGGGCGAGGAGACCCCTCCCAGGGCAGGACAGGCCCTGTGGGGAGAGAAGAGCGTGGCACACGGGCCCCGGGGAGGCCCCTCCTCCGAGAGACCCAGCTCGACCTCCGGCGCCTTCACACTGACTCCATTAGGAAGGGCCACAGCCAGCCCTGGGGTCGGTGGCCCAGGAGGGACTCGGGCGGGCTGGCGGAAGCCAGGCACACCCTGCCCGTGTCCCCTAGAGGCCTGGGCAGCCCCTTCTTCCCGGGAAGCCTGAGATGCTGAGAGGTGAAAACGTGACCACAGCGGTGACCACAGACTTTGTGGGGCGACTGTGGCTCCTGCCTGGGCCCAGCCAGACAGGGCCCCTCCCCAGTGAGGCCCCAGACAGGAGGGGGGCCTGGAGTGGGTCCAGGCTCTGCTCCCCACACCTCCCAGATGGAGGCTAAGGACACCCGAGTCCAGGCCCCGCCATGCCCGCCATGTGACCTGGCCCTCCTCTGGGACCCACTCACCTTCCTGGCAGAGGCAGTGATGCTTCCCGAGGCCACGCCTGCACGCTAACCCTAGGACCGGTCCCGCCCCAGCCGCCCGCCCCGCCCCGCCCAGTCAAGGATGGCCCTGTTGACCCCTCCTCCTCCTGCCTCTGATCCAGGGGGGCCCTTCCCCCCTCTAGGGTGGGAGTGCAGGTGGCTGGGGCCTGGGCGCAGGGAGCCCGGGCCGTCCGTGGGAGGGGCCGTCACAGCCCGAGACTCCTGCCCCGGGCACGCCCCGCAGGCCCCAGCCCCGCGGACATGGCTGAGAGAAGCGAGTCTGGACGAGCCAGTGGGGGTTGCGGGGGTGAAGGAGGCCGCGGGGCCCCGCTGAGGTCTCTGCTGTTTACAGCCACGGGGGCCTCGTGTGCGTGCTCGTCCCCCACTCCTGCCCACGGGCTGTGCTGGGAGGGGGTCCCCAGAGGGAGCCCTTCTCTCTGACGCTCCAGGGGCCCGGGCTCCCCAGGCTGAGCGTCCTCTGGGCTCAGGAGGCGGGGCCGCCGGCCCTGAGATGCCCCAGGAGCCCCAAGGCCTTGACCCTCGCCCTGGCTCCCTCAGGTCCGAGCGGGGCAGGAGGGGCCGCCCACCTGTGGGCGCTCGGCCCCCGAGCCCACGCAGCTCTCCAGCCCCGGGCGGCACCCCCCAGCCCCCACCTGCAGCAGTTCGGTGCCAGCCCGGGGCGCAGGCCGGCTCTCTCCGGGGGCCGCGGCCGCCCAGCAGCATCGCGAGCCCCTCCCCGGGCGAGAAAGCTCAGGCCCAGGAAGGGTGAGGAGACAAAGCACCTAAACCAGGGTGACCTCCAGAGCCCAAATGGGCCAGGGTGGTGGGCAGCCGGGGGCTCAGGGAGCCTCCTTGAGGAGCCAGGCTTGTGGAGGGCCGGGCTCCAGGCGAGGGGCAATCAGGGCTGCCCCACCTCTGCCCGGGGGGCGAGGCGGGGGTGAGGAGGCCGGGGCGGCAGAGCCTCCGGCGGCAGCGGAGGGAGGAGGCCAGGCTGGAGGGTCCCAGTGGGCTCGGGGTCTGGCAGACGGGAGCCCCTGCTGGGCGGCCTCGCCCTTCCTCCTGCGGCCACCACCCACTCCCCACCCTGAGCTCCCCTCAACACCCCGGACCCTCCACACAGCCAGGCCTGTCTGAGGGCCGCCTCTGCCCTGGAAGTCCGTCGGTGAGGCCCCAGGCCCGCGTGTGGGCCCCAGGAGGGCCCCGGGGAACAGCCTCCCAACACACAGCCCACCACCGTGTCCGCTGAGGCCACGCCTGGGAAGAGAAAGGCCGTATTAAGCGCCTCCTGTATGCACAGGTGGATCTCAAAGCCCGAGGAGCTGCCCAGCAGATGTGGCCTTGGGTCCAGCTAAGCCTCCCACCCAGCGCTGTGCCCTCTGGACACTGCCGTGCCCACTCCCGCCTGGGCTGCGGGCCCCTTGCAGTCGTCGGGGTCCCCTGAGGCGGGAGCACCAGCTGATTCCCCTCCAAGTTGGGGGCGGCAGTGAAGCCGGGCCCCACCTATACCCCTCGAGGGTGGTCCCTGTGGCCCCTCCTGCCTGCCCTGTGGATGGACGCTGTATGACCTGGTACCTCCTCTGCCCCCAAGGACACCGCCATGAGCGGGCATGGACAGCCTGCCGGCAGCTCAGACCCTGGGGGTGTGACCGCCAGCAGGGGCTCTGCTACCCTGAGCCCCCCAGCACCCCCAGGGTGGCCTCCAGGACCCCAAGGGGGAGCCATGATGGAGGGCAGCCCCCTCTCCCCGGGGGTGCGTGTCCTCAGAAGGTGCATGTCCCCAGCGGGGCCGTCCCCCAACACACGCCCGGAGGAATCCTTCCCACCCCGTCTCGAGACGCCCTGTGCACCCGCCCGCCCGGGCCACGTGGAGGGCACTGCCGCAGGAGTGCTGGGGGAGGGCCGCAGGTCCCAGCCCCAGGCCACGCCTCGCTTGCTGTGTGACCCCGGGGGCCGGCCTCACCTCTCTGAGCCCACCTCCTTGTCAGTAAGGCGGACCTACCGGCTCTGCTGAGCGGCCCTCTGCCTCCCCCTGGTGGTAAGAGGCCGCACTGCCGCGGGGGCCCGCGTGGGAGGATGGCCTGGGCGCTGGCGCTCAGGGAGAGTCAGGCTGACCGCCAGGCCGCCCTTCCCGGTCCTCCTCCCAACACGCGAGGGCCCCGGGCCTCTGCTCAGAGCCACCACGGTGCCCAGCGCCTGCGGAAGGACGTCTGGCTGCCCTACCTGGCCAAGACCCTGCAGGGCCCAGGCCCCACTGACCGCCCAGGGCTGTCCACGCGCCCCGTCACCCCGCCCTCCAGCGGGATCTGGCTGCAATGGGGGGGTGGCAGGAGGTCTCTGAGCCCCTCCGCCATCACTGCTGGGCCAGGCTCAGCCCCATGACCCCATCAACCTCACAGGGAGCACGCAGCCATCGCCAACAAAGGCTCAAGGAGTGCAGGGCCCTGGCCCAAGGCCACACGGCTGAGCAGCGCAGCCGGGACAGGGAGTCCACCTCCACACCAGGCAGCCCCCCGCCCTCTCAGGTCACATCCTGACCCCAGCAGAGACCCCCACAGCCCGTGAGGACAGAGCTGAGAGCCGGTGGGCCCGGCAGACTCAGCCGGGGGCTCCCACCCCCATGGGGACCCAGGGGTCCTGATGCCGCCTGTCACCGGCTGGGGGAGTGTCGGTGCTTTGCTGTCGCAGGGGGCCCTGAGGCGAGACCACCATGGTGGGCTCCGTGGTGGCTGCAGACCCACAGGAAGACACGGCTGTGACCTGGCGTGCCAGGCTGGGAGGCTGAGCCCTGGGAGGGAAGGGGACTGCAGTCCAGGGTGCAGGTCTGGGCTGCGAGGAAGCTCTGCTCCCTCAGGCCTGCTCCACGTGACCGTGGCCCCCTCACCCAGGGTTGGGCAGGGCGGTACCCGGCTCCATTGCTGGACGCCAGGAACGCGGCCCACAGGGGCCCAGCTGGCCTCCACCTCAAAGGTCAAACTCACAGATCTACACCGCAATCCCCGGAAGGGGTGCGGTTTGCAGAGACCCCGCCCTGTCCTGGCTCCTGGAAGGCTCACGTCAGCCTGTCTGCACAGCCAGGCCAGGAAGCAGCCAGCAGGCCCATCCCAGAGGGCCCAGGCCGGGCCCAGAGAGGCAGCAAGCGCCCGAGGCCACAGGCCGGTCCACGCGGCGGCAGAGGTGGACGGTGGCTGAGACCTCTGAGCTATCCAGGAGCTTAGGGCCAGATAGGACACGGAGCCCAGGCCACGGGTCAGTTTCTTTATTGAGGCGCCCCGGACCCCGCAGAGCGGGCAGCGTGGGTCCCACCCCACCCGCGGGCAAGGGTCTTGCAGCGCCGCCAAGCGGCTACTCGGGGGTCCTGCTCCGGCTCTTGGGGGACCAGATGCTGGACAAGCGGAACCTGGGCTTCCTCCTCTGCTCCTCGCCATTCCTCTGCAGGTCTGGGGGTGAACCCAAGGGCCTCGCTCGCCCACCTGGAGGCCGGCTCCCCACGGCCTCCCACTCGCGGGGCCTCCTGGGGCCCCAGCAGAGCCCACCCGCCGCCCTCCCCAGGGGGACACGCCGAGAGCCTGCCCCGAGAGCACCCGCCTGGCTGGGCACATCTGGGGGACGAGGCCTCCCCTCGCCCCGACCTCGGGGCCCCTCAAGCCTGGGGGACGCACTCCCTCACGGTGAGCCTTCCTGACCCTGCGCGCGCCCCGCCCCCCGCGCCGGCACCCCCAGTCACCCAGCTTCTGGATCATGCTCTGCAGCACCTCGTCCTCCTCCTGCTCCCTGAAACAGAGCGGCCATGAGGGCGTGCGGCGGGGGTGCGGGCCCCCCCACACCGCCCGGCCCCACCAGCCTCTGACCACCTGCCCGCGGGCCACACCACGGAGCAACCCTCTCCCTCCCGGCGCAGGCCCCTGCCTCTTGGCCCCGCAGGACCTGGGACAGTGACCCGGGGCCGGAAGGGCCAGGATGCACCAGGGGCCTCACTGGGGAAGACCCTGGGAGCCAGACTGCCTGGCAGCCTCGGGCCCCACCTGCAAAATGCACAGGGTGGGTCTCCTCCGGCTGATCAGTAGGGGAGGTCCTGAGCCCCCCCCCACCCGGACCCCCCTCACCTGGACCCCCTGGACCCCTCACCTGAGCCGGTCCTCATCCAGGAAGTCAATGATGTCGCTGCGGTTGTTGACCGTGTCCACATACTGGTCCAGCAAATCCTGCTCCCGCTGCCGGTCCTGGGGGGACTTCAGACCCTCTGCAGGGACAGCTGGTGTCAGCGGAGCACTGCTGTCCCCACTCCCCAACGGCCAGGCTCCTCCCCCGGTGGAGAACTGGGGTCCCCGGGCCCGTGAGGGGCAGCGCTGGCTGAGGGAGTGAGTGAACAGCGCCTGAACGGGAGGCGGGCGCTGCGGGCCCTCCCAGCTGTCACAGCCACACACACAACACCGCCCGCCCGTCCCAGACACGGCGGACTCGGGGTGCACACAGCGGGCGGGCGGGCCTGCCAGGACCCGGGCCCCCAGCCCAGCACTCAGCCACGGGGACCACGCCGCCAACAGACTCTCATCAGCTGCTCCCTGCACGCCCCGCACAACCCTCACCGCCGCCGCAGGAGGGGTGCTAGAACTACCCCCACTTTCCAGGAATGAAACCCAGGCACAGAGAGGTTGAGAGCTCAGCCAGGCAGCCAGCCCAAGGGCCTGGGGAAGCCTGCACCCGAGCCCCTCAGCCCCACCCCAGCCCCGCCGGCCCCGCCCCAGCCCCTGGCTGGGCGCACCTGGTTTGGCCATCAGCTGGCGCAGCTCCCCCTCGAGGTCCAGCTGCCGCTCCTCCAGGCGCTGGGCCCTGGCCCTGCCGAGGGGGTGTGGCTGTGAGCCCGCCGCCCGCGAGCACGCCCGTGTGCATGCCTGTGTGTGCACCCATGCACGTGCACGGAGAAGGCCCGTCCAGGGGGCCACGGCCAGACACTCACTTGTACATTAGCTCTGACTCCAGCCTCAGCAGCAGCTGCTTCTCGTGGACGAGCCGGAACCAGTCCACCATGAGGGCATCCTCTGAGTCATCTATGGAGAGGAGCGGGCTGGGTGTGGGCGGGCCAAGGGGCCCAGGGCCATGCTGCCCGAGGCCAGGCCAGGGTGCTGGGCAGGGAGGGGAGGCCTGACCAGGGGAGGAAAAGGGGGGCCCAACCCGGGCTGTGGGGGCGCTCACCTCCCTCAGCCGCTCGCAGACGCTTCTCCAGCTCCACGCCCCGGAGCTCCAGGGCGTCCAGCTGCCTCTCGATGTCCTGCACCTGACGCTGGATCTCGGGTGGCACGTAGTCAGTGTGCAGCTGGGGATGAGGCGGTGGTGAGAGGTGGGGGGTGGCCGTGGGCCCGGGGCTGCGCTCCTCACCCACCCGCACCCCAGCCCACTCACCCCGACCGGGGAGGTTGCTGACTTGGCAGGTGGAGCAGCTACGCTGGCTGGGCCCGGGGGCCTCCCTGGGGAAAGGGCAGGACAAGCCTCTTCAGGAACCAGGCCCAGTGTGACCCAGACGTGGTCTGGAGGGGGCCCACCCAGCTCTGCCTCCCAGAATGCCCTGGCATCCTGGTATGCCTGCCAGGCCTAGCAGCCCCTGCTGGTGCCCAAAGGGTGCGAGCTGGCAGACACATCCTGGGAGACACCGTGCCCACCCGGGCCCTGCCCTCCTCCAGGACAGCAAGGACACCCTGCCAGCACCCCAGCCGTCCTTCCCGTGAGATGCTGGGAGCAAACGCCCCATCGCTGCCAGGGTGGCTCAGGCTCCAGGAGGAAGGCAGGGCCTGTATCCCGTCCGTCTGTCCCTACACGTGGGAAGGGCCTGGGGCCCAGCCTAGACCCTCCAGACACCCAGCCCCACCTCAGATACACAGAGCCCAGCCACCTCCAGGTGTGCTCGAGCCTGCTGGCACTGGAGGCCTGTCTTCATCCATTCTGGGCTCCACGAGCTCCTATGCATCCTCCAAAGCCCCATGGGGCACGTTCTCCAAAGGAGCCCCCTCCAGCTGCCACCCCAAGCAGGAATGCGGTGTGCCCTGGACTCACCTGGTTTGCCTTGGGGAGGGCCTTTCTCCTCCTTCTGGCTCCGGGCAGGGCCTTCCTTCCTCGATGGTTCAAGCTGCAGCCAGTCGCCAGAAATATCCAGGCTGGCTGGGACGGCCAGCTTCTTGAGAGGGGATGCAGACGCAGACGTGGCTGCCCGCGGGGGGACAAGCCATGTGTCAGGCCAGTAGTCCCGGGCTGTCCCCCTCCTGCTTTCCTGAGCTGGGCCCCATTGGAGGGGCACCCACACAGGTGTCAGGCCACGATCCATGTCTGCCTGGCTGGCCACATCCACAGGAGGGGAAGGGGACAGAAGGCTGACCCTTGAGAGCACCGGGGACCTGCTTTGGGGAGGCAGAGCGTGGCTGGGAGCAGACATGCACAGTCACACCTCACACACGCACGCACGCCCGCCGGGACCACCAGCTCCTCTGCCCCCAGGGAAAGGGCCTGCTACACCGGGGCTGCCTGGCTAAGGAGGGTCGGGGGCCTCTGGCCAGCAGTACCTGGGAGGCTGGCCCCGGGGCCGGCCGCGCCCGGCATCCTCTCCACCCGCACAGAGGTCACCGTGATGCGGACGCCCCTCTCGGAGCTCCCGGAGGCCTTCCCGGCTGCGTCGCCTGCCCGTGGCTCTCCCAGGACCCGAGGCTCCTTTGGCTCTGGGGCCCTGGGCAGAGGCAGGAGGTCAGCGGAGGGAGACAGGCCTCCCTGCACGCCACTATGCAGACCAGCCCGGAGCACGTGTGCCAGCTCCCGGCCCCAACGGTCTCACCTCCTGGACCACAGGTGCACACGGCCGACACACACACGGGCCCCCTGGAGCATGTATGAGGGCGGGCCCCCCGTGGCTCACACAGGCGGCCGTCCCGCACCACGGCCCTGGAGTGGCCTTCTCACCCTCCCCGCCCCTCTCTGCCAAGCCTGCGGTGAGTGGGGGTCCCGGCCGGGCTCCGGGGTCAGCCCTGGGGGGACGCACATCAGGTGCTCTCATTCCCCAGGGCCTCCAGGCTGGTTCAGTGAGGATCCGAGGGCTGGGGGACCCTCCCTGGAGCAGTCTGATCCCCTTGAGTCCAGCGGCCCAAGGGCACGTGGCCTGTCCACGCAGGCTTCTGCTTCCACAGCTGACCCGCACGGGCCGACAGCACACGGCCCTGCCGTGGGTGCCAAGTGGCTGCCGTGTGGCTGGCCTGTGAGAAGCAGGTGCCGTGTGCCCGCCCTGGCTGCAGGCAGGGGGTGCTGGGCGCCCCCGGGGAGCCCGCCGCACGCACCTGTCCGCGGGGCTCTTCTCCACGGGCTTCAGGCGGGCCCTCCACCCCGCCGGCCGGTCCTCTGGG